TGCCATCTCTGGTATGCATCCCATAGGTTAGCCATCACGGAACTATAGCATACTGAGGTGTACATTTTATTATAGCACTACTGGTATACAAAGAGGGACTGCAATATACTTGTGAAAAATGACTTATATTCCCTTCCTTTCTTCCAAGACTGAGAGAACAAGTCATAGTGTATAAATTTCTATAGTGGTCCATCCTTCATTGGGTTGTGGAGTGCTCTGTAATTTTCATTGTAAAACTTTCAGGGTTGGGCAGTTAGTGGCCATCTAGATGTTGTCAGCCTATAACTCCTATGATCTCTCACCAGTGATTGTACAATCTAGGGCGGATGGGAGTTGTACTTCAGCAACATCTAGAATGCCACTAGTTACCCCACGCTATAGATACCTATAGTGAAAGTGTACTGGGTGTGGGTGTGCCCACACACATGTGCACGTGTCAATTTTATTTATTTATATCAAGGATTTGATATAAGCCACAAATGATAAAATGGGCGCAGGATATAGGTTGTAACATCGAATTAGATCAATGGGAGAGAAATTGGAAAAAAAGATTAAAATATACTTTAAATTCGGATATCAAAGAAAATTATTACAAAATGCAGTTCCGCTGGTATCTTACCCCATATAAATTGGCTAAAATGAGAAGAGATAGTAATAACAAGTGTTGGAAGTGTGGGGAAAAAGTTGGTACTTTTTTCACCTATGGTGGGATTGTAAATTAGTGAGAAGATTTTGGCGGCAAATACATGGTAAAATGGAAAAGATATTCAAAATGGATTTGAATTTTGACCCACAGTTATATCTTTTGGGGATAGTGCGAGATGAAAAACTAGAGTTAAAATATGGGAAGTTGATTTCAGCTGCAAGGATAGTTCTTGCATCCAAATGGAAAGTTAAAGAAATACCAGATATATATGATTGGAGAAATAAAATATTAGACATAATGGAAATTGAAAGAATAACATCAATATTAAAAGGGAAGAATAAACAATCATTTAAAAATGAATGGAAACCGATGATAGATCTGTGGAAAACAGAGGAAGAGACCCAATTTGTTATTGAAGTGGACTAAGAGGTCACTGGTTAGAGTCGTGGAAATGACATTTTATTGAGTATATCAAGGATTTGAATTGTAATCTTTGTGTGAATATACTGATTTACTGATGTATTCGTCCATGTAGATTTGTCCCAAATTCCAAGATGACATGAGATTTCATGCACAACTGAATATAAAATTTCACTAAATTGTTAATTATACATTTGCAGTCAAAAACAGCTACTCTGATACACCCTCACAGCCTCCTAATCTGGGTGTTGTTATTTTACCCTGTGTCTTAAGTTTCCAGGAAGTCTTATAGATATGATGATAGGCCATAGTAATTGCTTATGAAATACCACTTTACGCTCCATATTTTGAAAAGGTTATGTGAAATAAAGATGAATTGGATTCTATATGTGTTTCAAAGGTATTATATGATTATTGTTTAAATGAGAACATTATAGTTTCAGAGGATTAACAAAAATATGTTGGCATGTGGAATGCCCTTGGTTAGGGCATGCCAGCCAATCGTGCCCTTTTAAAGTATTATTTTGCCTCCTTGCTTGTTGGGATATTTGTGAATTACGCTCTTGAGGTTTTTTTTTCCCCTTGAAGATTGTCTTATATATCTGCAAGCCTTGGATTTCTCCAGGCCTGCTGTTGCCTCTCTCTTGCCCATTGATGGCCGTAGTGTTGGCTGCATAAGGACTGACATGTGAGGAACAAGTTCAATATTAGTGTATAGGCTATCAGCCAAACTGGAAGAGTAAGCATGAACTTTACCATGGTCCAAAGCACACTGCAGAAATGTCAGTTTGAGACCATTTTAACTACCCTGGCTCAATGCTAGGGAAGCACTGTAGTTTTGTGAGAGCCTTCTTTATCAGAGAGCTCTGGTGCCACAATAAACTAAAATTCCCAGGATTCCCTAGCACTGAGCCAGGGAAGTTAAAGCAGTCTCAAACTGGATTATTTCTGCAGTGTGTTTTGGACCCATGTATAGTTATAGCTTACTGTCTTAAAAAAAGGGGCAATGAATAATCTTTGGCTAGGAAGAAATAGGCTGATGCAGGCATCACTTTGATATTTAAAATCCTATCTGTATTCCATGATGATTTACATCTGCCGCACCCAAAAAGCTTTGCTTATTTTCAGGGTAATTGTTTTTGCTTTGGTTGGTTACAAATGTTGATGAAAAGGTTGAGCACATCAAATGAAAATATTTATATATGTGTATATGCCCATAAAGTGTATATGCCCATAAAGTGACACTTAGAGAATGCTTGCTTTTATTACAGAGTGAAAATACTGGGGGAAAACAAAACAAAACAAAACAAAACAAAAACAACCAATAGAATAACACTAAATAAATATATTATCAGACCCCTCACAAAAATCCCAGAGTGGAAAGAAAAAATAATCAATAGTAGGTTCAAGTCATGAGAGCTAGCATGGGACTTTATCACACAGGAGGCAATCTGTGAATAAAGCAAATTTAATCCTGTCAGTATCCTGCAAGAGCGGGATGATTTTCAGACGATGTTCCCCATGTCACCATTATCCTGCAGTTAACCTGTGAATAAAGTGGCAAAATCGTGCCACTTTTTATTTTCGGGATTTTCTCATGAATAAAAAGCGGCACGATTTTGCCACTTTATTCACGGGTTAATTGTGGGATAATGATGATGTCAGGGGACATCATCTGAAAATCATCTTGCTCTTGCAGGATATTGATGGGATTAAATTTGCTTTAATCATGGGATGAGGATACTTGCCTCCTATGTGATAAAGTCCATGGTTTAGTGGTTTGAGTGTTGGACCAGGAATCTGGGAAACCAGGGTTCAAATCTCTGCATGGCCATGGAAATCTACTGGGTAGCCTTGAGCAAGTCACACAGTCTCAGAGAAAGGCAATGGCAGACCTCTTCAGACCAAATTTTACTGTTTATGTAATTATTTTATATTCCGTTTTTCTCCCTTATGGGACCCAGAGCAATTTATACATATGTTAAACAATACAACCAAACAAGTCTGAAATACAAAAACTAAAACATTAAACACAATCTACTTAAAACATTACTGTATATACTCACTATAAGTTGAACTCATGTATAAGTCGACTACAGGTTTGGGGGCCAGATTTATGGATTTTGATATGACCTGTGGATAAGTCGAGGGTAAAGCCTATGGGCATATAACAAAGGATCTAAAAGCAAAGGAAAACAATGCCAAAGAACTTACAAAATTCCAACAGGCATAACTGTTTGTGCTCACACTAAAGGCTGAATGGATAAGAGAGTAGAGGGGGGTCAGTGCTTCTAGGACAGATTACACTCTTGCCTTTCACCAAGGGATAGTTCCTGTTTTTTTTTAATAAGAGTTAAGATACAATACTTACATTGGCCTGTGGATAAGTCGACTAAGGTTTTTTGGGTCAATTTTGGACTTAAATTTCTAGACTTATACATGAATGTATACAGTAATTTAAGACAGTTTAAAAGCACATAGATGCCTCTTAAATAGCACAGCTCTTGCACTTCTCCAGCCAGTTAAAAGCTGGAGGCCTGTTTAGATAAGGCCTTTGCCTGCTGTTGAAAAGAGAGAGGGGAGAGAGCTGAGCCTCCTTTGGCAGAAAGTTTCATAGCCTGTAAGTAGCTATTGAGAAGGCTGACTTCCAGGTTCCTGCCAACTGTATCTGGAATGGTACAGGGGTGGGACCAAGAGAAAGCCTTCCCTTGGAGATCTTAAAACATGGACAACTTGTCAGAAAGCCTATCAGGAAAACTCTGTGATAGGTTTGCCTTAGAAATGCTTTAGGTCAGAATGACTTCAAGGCACAACAACAATAACAGGTTGGATCAGATTAATTACCCCAACAACTAACTGCTCATAAATGAGTAGGTAAACAGATTAATTTTAACTGCCAGTATAATGTCAAAAATGCAAGGGAAAATCCTGTACCATCAAAGTTGGGCACCAAACTTGTGTCATCTCTTAGTGGTGAGACAATGATAGGCTTTCGACTGTCTTCTGAATTAAAAACATGAGCAGGCTGATACAGGAACAGGTATTTCTTCAAACACTTGACTTCCACATTGTTCAAGGCTTTGTAGTTCAGTACTTTTATTTAGTCCTGGAAATAAAGAGACAGCTTTATCTATACCTGTCTTAAAATGGTACGGGTCCTATTCTTTTCATGCACGTTACCCTTAGTCTTTGGTAATCCTATATGAATTGTGGAGTGCTTCATCAAGTTCTCAGTCACAAGGACTTTTTCACCAGTGCTGGGTGCACTGAGGTCTGTTCTGTGTATAGCTACAAATGCTTTCAAGGTAAATCAGTCAAGAAATTGCTTTCCAAAGCCTTTGATTCATACAGTTGGTCATAAAATTGTTGAAACACTATTTCAGTATGTGTTGTCATTACATTTGCCTCTATCCAGTGCCTTTACTGGTTGTTCTTTTTGTATGTGCAATCTGGCTGAAAGCTGGTAGTTCTCATTCCCAGCATTTATTTAATGCTGCATTAGTATACACTTCTCTAGTGAAGGGATGGGAAAAAATGTGGCCTTTGGCCCCTCCCATATTCCAAAAAGGATGAACTGCTACTTTTGGGGGCTTTCAGAACCATTTTACCTTTTAAATAGGCTGCAAAGCCACCCCTTGCACTGTTTTATATTTTTTGAAAAAAGGTTTTTTGAAACCTCAGCAATAGACTTCTAGCCACCTTTCCTGCACCCCCCCCTTTTTTTAAAAAGCATTTTGGCAGTCTACATGAATCCCAAAAGGTAGAAGATTGCCCCCAGACTTGCTGCGGTTGCCCACCCCAGTTATATAATTTAGCAAATCTGCTTCCAAATTTGGCATCTCCTCCCTCCCGCTTTCTAAGAAAATTCCTATTTCTTACAACAAATTTTGCCTTGCTTGTTCCCTTTGACTTAAGGGCAGGCGAAGATGCCCTTAAATGGGAGCCTTCTTGCATACAGCATCCTCAGAATACAGCTTGCAGTGTGTTGCAAAGTAAGTGTGGAGTCATCTCTACATTGAGTCTTTCCTTGCTGATACTTTCTTTAATCTTGTATTTTAGTAGAAAGGGTGGGACTTACTATCCAGATCAGTGTTGTTTGATCAAGCAGAGCTAGAGTTCCAGGTTTGGAGGTGCATGGTCAGATATTGTTGTGGTGCCAGTCATAATATCCATTATTTTTTGCTAACAGAGGGTTGGAGTGGGAGGGCAAAAAAAGGAAAAAAGAAAAATAATGGGGGGAGGGAAAGAAAAAAGGATTCTAGAGTATGACTTATGCTAAGAGGCATAGATATATAGTCACATCATGAGGAGTAGCTTTTTGTTTGTGGAAGTGGAGTTAATGTGTTCTTGTATCCATTTTGTAATCCAGGATTTACATTTCTCTTCCACTAAAAGAAGTGCACAGCTATAAAAGACTGGAGATTTTGTAGCATGACTGGTTAAATTGGTCTTAGCATAGAAAGAACACACTGTGAGTCAGCTCTTTTTTTTCTTTTTTAAAAAAGGATACATTTAGTTCTGCTGGGTGTTGTAGGGAGTTTCCTACCATAAGATAGGGATTTTTGTTTATTGTGAGAGCAATCCTGCTTTCTTTAGATGTTTCATCTGAGCAAAATTGATGTCCTAACGAAGGGTGAGATAATACTCTCTTTATATGTTTGCCCTGATAAAATTCTTGAAGGCAGAAAATGTCGAGGTTGTGTTCTTTATTTTCAGAATTTTGTGGTGTTTCCTAACAGGCCCCTAGTCATTTGTTTATAATGATACAATTTTAAGCCTTTCCCCAGTTTTTATAGTATTATACTTTAATAGTTTCCCTTATTGTGTTTAAGGTTTTTCATCCCATGGGATCAAACCACAAAATATGACCAAGCCACCATACCCATAAGCATGGAACAGAACAAAAAGAATTAGAATGAAAGAAACAGATAGAATTGTAACTGGCTTCCAGAGTAGCAGCTCTGTGATGTGCATGCTCTGCCAAGAGTATAATTGTCCAGCTATCCCAGGTGATCCAAAGAGGGACTGGCTATAGTGAGTTTCTAGGTTATTCTGATTTGGTTTCCCCCTCCTGCTCACCAGTTTTGTAAAAAAGCAATCTTAGAAGTTGCCATCAAACTGTTCTTTGTAATTGCTTGTTCCTAACTAACACAAATAATGCCTCCTGTTAAGTTTATGTATTTTATTTGTTTGTTTGTTTATTTTTTGGCTGGGGCATGGGGTCTATTCAATTTGCTGTCTAGCCAGTTTAGGTGGGTCTACATCACTTTCTTCTTCTGAGATCTTTGCTTTCTTTGACTGGAATATCTAGTGCAGGGGTCGGCAACCTATGGCCCACAGGCCAAGTGCAGCACGACGCAGAGTGTCATTTTGGAAGACCCAATGGTGCTGGCGCCGTGCGAATTTGCACTCTGCCACCGCCGTCATGGGGCGTTCAAAAATGGCGCTCCCATGCGCGCATGCATATGCACAGTGGTGGACGTCGTGCGCATGTGGGGGTAAGCGCACGTGCTCTGCTGCCATTTCCCCCCCCCCCCCCCCCCCCGGCAACAAAAAGTTGCCGACCCCTGATCTAGTGCTTCACACATGGCTGCTGCATGAGTACTGGTGGAGACTCTAAAACAGGGATCAGCAAGGTTTTCTTACCTGGGCCTGGTCTGCTGGCCTCCAGGTCTTCCGCGGGCTGAGGGTGGGGAAATGGTGGCATGCGTGACTCGCTTGCGCATGCGCAGTACTTCTGGAGTACTGCACATGCACAAGCGAGTCGCGACCGCCATTTTGGAAAACAACATGGTGGCTGCGACGCGCGCAGTGGCGGTGTGGGTTGGCGACGGGGGTTGGCAGGGGCTGGTCCAGAGGCCTCAGGGGCGCGGCCCCGGCCCGCGGGCCTTAGGTTGCCGACCCCTGCTCTAAAGTGTCATTTTTTATGGAACTCTTACTTTGAAGAGGAAGCCAGAAGTATATTAAATTTCTTCCTTCCTGACAACAGCAGTAAAAAAAAACAACAACAAAAAACTGAAAGATCTGTATTGTTTGACAGAGGGGCGGGGTATAAATAAATAAATAAATAAATTCTGCAGAGAGATTTTCATAGATTTTAGAACTTTTATATTCCACAATTTGTTATTCTTTGGTACCTGCAGATCATGGCATTCTTTTGGATATGGAGTAAACTATGTGAGGATATTTCCACTCCTATGGGACAATGTGATCTTGGCCAAGGTGCCCTGCTATAACTCATTGTTTGCATGCAAAGGGATTTTATAGCACCGTTGAGACTGAGAGAAAGAAGTTGGTAGTGCAAGTTTTCATGGACTTTCATAGATATGACATGCATCTGAGGAAGTAGACTTACATCTGTAAAAGCTTATGCTACCAACTTTTTCTCTCTCTCTGTCTTAAAGGTACATACTGATCCAGACAGCTATGCCTTTGAATTCTATTTCAGTGTTTGCAATTATGTGAAGATCTGAACAGATTTCATTTAGCCATCAGATAAGGAAGGCGATAGTATCACTTGCCTCCTTGAATTCTGCCAGTCCAATAATTTTAGGATCAACCTGCAGCTTCACTTCTTCAGATTTCAAGCTTATCTATCGAATTAGAAGCCAGAGTACCTTTTTTCTTGCAGCATTTGTTCCTGGGCTGTACCATGCTTCAGTGTGTCACTAGATATTTTTCTCAGTGGTAGTGGATTCCGCTCCCTATATAGTTTTGGTGTCTATGGATTGCAATGCTTTAGTTCAGTTTTCATGGTGTTCAGCTTGAAACCATTTAAAAAAAAGATCTTCCATGGAATCCTCCTAGTTCCCCCATTCTGGTTTTGAGCTCTTT